AGAGGAAATAAAACTGTGACAAAAGATGATGATGATAATAATAATAATAATAATAATAATAATAATAATAATAATAATAATAATAATTCAGTATAATTATTGTTTATGTTCGTGAAAATAATAATACTAACAATTGTACCATATTATAAAAATCGATTGAGGAGAGCGTTCCAGGCTCCGAATACGTCAACCTCCCTGCAAACAGCATTAGCAGCTGCTGCACATCTTGCAGGGGGACAATTTTTACATGAGGAGCAGACCTCATATAACTTATATAAGATCACCGAAGGCAAGTTAAATAATATTACAATGCTTTTCAAAATAAATTATAGTAGAAACGTTGTCAGTCACAAAAATTAATAATTCCTAACATCACAGCGAAATCGCCTCTGAAATACAATTGTGAGGTTTCCGGTTTGGGGAAGGCTGCATAGTAAAGGCCTCAGCGACCCCTGCTGGGTAGTGCAAGGAGAGATGAACAATGAAATATATGCATATACGAGAAAAGACACATTTCAGATACCATCTACGCAAATGAAAAAAATAATTTCATAATATCTCACTACCACACATACACAAAACACCGAAACAGACACTAGAATGGAAACCATCGCACACGCGTTGGATCCCTAAGGAAAAGTTTATGATTGTTGTAGGGACAGAAAATTAAGTATAATCGGGAATTTAATTCGCTTAGTGGGGGGATGGAGTAAACTGGATCCACTGATTGGTCTATTGTAGCCTGCCCCGGGTGATTATGATGATGGAGAATTTGGTGGAATGAAGATTGGCAAGGCAAACCGAAGTACTCGGAGAAAACTCGCCCCAGCGCCACTTTGTCCACCACAAATCCCACTTGACCAAGCCCGGGATCGAACCTGGGCCGCCGCAGTGGGAACCCAGCGACTAACCGCTTGACCTATGGCGCGGCCATATTCGGGCATAGTCTTTAGATAAAACGAAAATATTTTATAAAATCAATAGTTAAACGTTGCTATATTCGGCGGTTAAAGTTAATAAGGAACAAGGACTAAAATTGGTTGACTTGAAAGGATTCTGACGATGGTGTATAGTGTACTTCTTTTGGCTTATTTTGGACTTCATCCATCTTCTGGTATGTAGAAGACAAAAGACCACGACGTTTCGGAGACTGGATCTGTCTCCGTCTTCATGTGGGTAGGGAAGGATAAACCTACTCAGTTTGGCCCGTTAGAAAAGTTAGTCCAGTGATTGAGACTAGCTCTTTCTAACGGGCCCAACTGAATAGGTTTATCCTTCCCTATCCACCTGAAGAAGGAAAGAGATCCAGTCTCCGAAACGACGTGGTCTTTTGTCTTTTGCATACCAGATGATGGATGAAGTCCAAAATAAGCCAAAAGAAGTAGGGGACTAAAATTGTTCGCTGATATTTTCTAGAAAGTACTTCGGTTTACTTCTGAGAGCTAATTTTGTGTAAGCATTTTTGATTAGTGGAGTGACATATTTTTCAAATATGGCAAGAACAGTTGCTGATTTAAGTATTCTTTTTTTATTGCAGGTTCTGGGAGGACTGCTGTAGTACATGTATGTCTCCTTGTTTGCATTTGGATTGTACATCTGTTCGTGTGAAAACAGCTGCAACATGAAGACTTGACATGTTCTTATATTCATCCTGCATAGTAAAACACTACATGAGATGGCGAAGAACTTAAGTTTTTATAATTAAAAATCTTAAAAGATTTTAAATTCCCTTGTAATAGAGTGGTAATTGACTGAAAATATACAACTAATGAGTGTTGAAGAATGTAATGTTAAAACCGACTGATTCTCGTCAAATTTTTTATAACAGAATTCTTTATTCATTTGTGTGTCGAATTCAAAGTTCAGAAGCCTGTTACAGAGTCAGCACGAACACCAGAACAGCAAGAAAATGAAATACAGGGCAGATCAAAACAACTAATACGTGGTAGAGTCATTAAGTTCGTGGAATGTGGTTTTATCGCATCATATTACAAGGTATTCACATACACTTACGCAGATCCACATCGGCCCTCAAAATAGTTGCCGTTGGCCGCTATGCAAGTCTGCCAGCATTGATATAGCTGTCGAAAACATTGCTGAAACATATAGGCGGGACATTCCCGTACGGCGCTTTGCGGCCATTCCATGAACTTATTGACTGTGGTAGTATAAATAAATGTTACATAAGTTTATTCTAAAAATGTGCATGAATTTATAAATTGATTTAATAACAGGAGAACATCTAGATGAAGGGCAGTGGTTGGGGGAGGAACAGTACGTGGTAATGTTACGTGTGTTCCTTGCAGGAACACGAATGACAAAAAATCTTAGAACAGAACGAAGGAGGGTGGCTTCAGTATAAACTTACGTGGCAACTTCTGGTGTGAAGTGTCTGAAGATTTACTTCTTTTATAAATGAATAAAATTTTACAGAATATTTTGAAAAAATCTACTTTGACAGAAGGTTGCAAACTCTCCTCGCATTTGCCAAATTTAGTTAGCTTTAAGATTCGTAACAGGGTTGCATGCTGTGGAGGAACATCCCGGATTAGACGCAAAGAAAGCAAATATAGCTCCAGTAAGTTAGAAAGAGAAAGTTAAGAGTATGAACCGAACCTAACCTAACCTAACCTAATCTAACCTAACCGAACCTAACCATTCTGCGGCAAATAAGACTAGAGAATCAGCAGAGGGATGAAAATAAACTTTACCCTAATTACAAAACACAGGACTTCAACACAATCTTTTCACAATACAAATACACTTCCGGAGTATAATTATATCTTAGCCTGTTCTTTCTCCTGGCGAAAGAAATAAGCCCAGTTTTGATAATGTTATACTTCGTACGCCGATCACACACAAATCAGTATCTGTCACGAGGGATTGCAGGAGTCAAGCCTGTTTTGGTGAATTAATATTTCGAAAACATTTAACTTAATTATGGGGAACGCGGTAGCGTAGTTGGTTGAGGCACTATGCTACAAAACGGAAAATCTAAGATTCGAGTGCCGATGAAGTTTTTCAATTTACCTAATCCTTCCAGACACACTATGGCATTGGGGTCGACTTAAGCCTTTAATAGAAATGAGTACCAGGAATCTTCCTGGGGAGTAAAGTGCGGCCGGCGCGTAAGGCTGACAAACTTACCGCCATCTGTGAGCAGACTATCTAGAGCAGGCATGTCAAACTCAATT